GACTTTTCGCTGTTCTCCACCTTCCTGAAAAAATAAAAAGATCCAGCTTTCAAGCAGTTGTCCGTATCCTTGCACCAGAGCTCTCCCAGCGGGAAAATCGAATCCTCGAAAGAAAGGCATTTTGACACCGTTCAACACTATGATTTCAATACGTTACTTTCAATATTTTAAAGCAAAGATACAACACTAGAATACTCTTCATAATGATAGAGTCTTGCTTGTGACAAATACATTATGGATCTTTCTAGTTGTTACTTCACTTTAAGTCGGGTGTATATCAAGCATATTTCACTACTGTAGTAGAGTGATAAAGATGATTTTATTTTACTGTACATATCTATATATTGTTTAAATGAGAACATTTTGTGAGCTAGCTAATCTAGGGGTTTTAATGTATTTAATCTGTTTATTTGCATTTATTATACTTGTGGCTTTTTTTCTACAAGTGAACAAAATTATGGGTGAAGGTTTTTTTCTCCAACCTTGTGGATTGGATTCCAAATGTTTTATTTTTTTAATAAATTTTTATTGGTTTTTAAAACAAACATAAACAAAACATAAAAACATCAAGCCATCTTCCATATATATACATACAGTGTGCCGGTTGGTTTACAAATAGTTTTGTGCTTCCATTTCGTAGTCTTCAGTTACAATTACATTGTATATAATCTTGTATTTTCAATCAAATATTAAATACATTAATATCATTATGAATCAATCATTTGAATATATTTTAATTCATTCATGTTTTACAAAATAATCATATTTTACTTAATTTGTTTTATGACAGTTCATGTTATCATCCCAAATCTATCCTACAATCATTTTGTAGATATAATAAGAAAAGAATTATATATTTATTATTTATATATTTATTATTTTTATATATATTTATATATTTATTATTTTTTAAAAGTCTACATATTTCATTACTATATTTTATTGTCTAACCATTGATAGAATAGATCCCAAATTTTATAAAATTGTTTATCATCTTGTTCTCTAATTTCAAATGTCAATCTACTCATTTCAGCACATTTCAATATTTTCTTAACGATTTCCTCCTGTGATGGTGTTTTCTCATTTTTCCAGTTTTTAGCAATACAATCCTAGCCGCTGTTAATACATTTACAATCAGGTATTTCAAGTCTTTACTATCTATTTCAGGTAAAATTCCCAATAAAAATATCTCTGGTTTCAAATCTATATGTTTTTTTGTCGTTTTTGCCAACCACGTGTGGATTTTAGTCCAGTATTTTTTAGCATCCGCACAAGTCCACCACATATGGTAATATGAGCCAGGTGTCTGATGACATTTCCAACATTTTTCAGATTTATTCTTGAACATTCTTGCTATTCTTGTTGGGGGAAAATGCCACCTGTAAAACATCTTATACAAATTTTCTTTATATGCTGTTGACATTGTCATTTTATAATTTTGAGACCACAGTTTTTGCCATTTCTCTAGATCAATCCTATATCCAAAATTCTTCCCCTAAGCAACCATAGTTTCTTTAACTTGTTCTTCTAGTTTAATTTCTAATAGATATTCATACAATTTTTTAATCACCTTTTCATCAGTACCTGTCAAAATCTTATCTAAGTCAGTCAGTTTATCATAGAAACCTTCTGTTTTAGAATCTTTATCATACCTTGAATGTATTTGCGCATATGAGAACCAATTCATCTTTATACCTTGTTCCTCTAGTTTTTGTATAGATTGAAGTTCACCCTTTTCATTCAATATTTCACCATATCTAACTGTTTGTTCCTTTTTGTATATTATAGGATAAGAAAATGCTTCAATAGTCGATAGCCAGACTGGAATTTTCAAATAACATTGTCTTTTAATCTTCTCCCAGTTTAACCACAGAGACTCCCGTATATCATGTCTTCTAAAGTACCTCTGTGTTTTAGTTCCTTTATACCATAGAAAAGCATGCCACCCCAACAACAGATCATGACCTTCTAATGTCAACAATCTAGTATTTCTTAATGTTATCCATTCCTTAACCCACATCAGATTTGTAGCTTGGTAATACAACTCCCAATTACGCAAACCAAATCCTCCTCTTATTCTAGCATCTTGCAAAAGTTTTAACTTTATTCTCACTTTCTTACCTTGCCATATATATTTCAACACAATTTTATTTAAATCTTCAAAGTATTCTTTTCCAAGCCTAAATTCTGGGTAATATATTCATCTTGATTGTTGATATTCTCCCTATTAATGACAGTTGTAAATTTTCCCATTTCACCAAATCTAGCGCTATCTGCTGTTTAAGCTTGATATAATTATTCTCTTTTAGTAGTGTACTGCATCTTGCTGTCAGGTATATCCCCAAGTACTTGATCTTATTGGTGACCTGAATTTTCAATAGGTCTGCCAGTTCTTCCTTTTGTCTTGATAGCATATTCTTTGTCAAGATCTCTGTCTTATCTTATTTATTTTCAAACCAGCCACCTTTCCATATGTCTCTATCTTTTCTATCAATTTTGATGCTGTTTCTAGTGGGTCTTCTAAGATGAAAACCAGATCATCTGCAAATGCTTGCAACTTAAATTCTTCCTTGATTCCAAATGTTTAATTATACCAGGTTAGGTAATATCTTTAGCAGAGTTTAGGGGGTGTCAGTCGGGGTGGGATTCAATTTTTTTAACAATCGGTTCTGTGGGTGTGGCTTAGTTGGTAGGCATGGGTTGGTGGTCATGTGACTGGGTGGACATGGCTTGGTGATCATGTGACTGGCTGGTCATGGCCAACTCAACATCACTCACAGTTCTCATCTGGCCTCTGGTGACTATGGGGTTGCTACAATGGTTGTAAGTGTGACAAACGGTCATAAGTAACTTTTTTTCAGTGCCATTGTAATTTTGAATGGTCACTAAATGAGCTGTTGTAAGTCAAAGATTACCTGTACAAAAATGCAAAAAGCTTTTTTGCTTGCAAAAAGCTGTCCTAAATACCAACCATTAGATTAAAAATACCTGCAAATCAGAATTACAAATCAGGCAGGGTGCCAGAGCATCTTGAGGAATTAAAATAGTTGAAATACAATGATAACTATCAGCAGCCAACTCTTGCTCATAAAGTAAAACCCTTTAGCAGAGAGGTCATTTAAGCTCTCCAGAAAGAGCACACCCAGGAGAAGCAATCCTTAGATCCATTCGCACCACTTAAAGACACCAGCTGGTCTCACCTCGCAAGATATCCTAAGGAAATTATCCAGATTTAAGGAAAGATCACATGCCCCCAGAAAGACAGTAAAAAAAATCAGTGCCCCCAGAAAGACAGCAAAAAAATCAGTGCCATGTTTGCATCCTGCCTCTTGGAAGTACACCCCAAAAGGACAGTGGCAGATACCACTAAAGCAGTGAAGGAAGACCCCCTCTCCAAGTTAAAAAAAAAACATGAGGAAGGAAAAAATTCAAACAAAATACAAATTATTAAATCACAACAGTAGCTGTTGCTTGTTAAACAAATTACCAGAACAAATAAACACAGGAACATGCCAGATTTCTCAACCCAGTTTCTTTTCAGGAACAGAGATTAACCTTTTTACTTCCAAACAAAGCTGAATAGGGAAAATTATCCATCAATAAACACAGGATTAAACATCACCAAGCACAGAATTAAACTTCACCAAAAAACAGTTTTAGGCCAAAACTCAGAAAGGGTATGTAAACTCATGTTTGAATGTCAATCTTTCTAGCTAGCCCAGAAGCCTTGCTGAATGTCACTCACTCATCTTGGTTCCTTGTCATTAAAAGCTTCTTTCCAGCAGCTCTGCTTTGCTATTCAATTATTTCTTCAAAGTGCTAACTCCAACAGGGGAGTATTTCCTCCCAACAGCAATGTAAAAGCTTAAAATAACCCTTCCCCTTTAAGAAAGTCAAGCAAAGTACCAGCTAAGAAGAAAAAAAAACTCTAGAGAAGCTCCAAAGACAGGAAGTGTAGGTGTACTGCCAACAATGTAACAAGGATTAATGGAGAGGCAGTTTCTGTAAGCAACAACACCATAATGTTTCCTTCCTGCCTTCCTTACAGGATTAGCACTGTAAAGTGGAAAAAAACAAAAGGAGATTTCTTCTAACAACTGGTTCTCTGAACTGCTTAGAAAATTAACAACAGGTTTTAGTGAATAGGTGAGAACCTATAGAATCCAGCTCCTGGTGTCAGTGTTCTTCTGTTTAGGGACAGCACCAACCCTCAACCAACCCATGAAACCCCTCCCCATCAGCACTTCACCTCCCAATGACCCTCACCTGATGTAACTTATCCACGGGATGCTCCAATACTGGAGGTTTTTAAGAAAAGACTGGACAGCCATTTCTCTGAAATGATATAGGGTTCCCCCCAAGGTCCCTTCTAAGTGTTATTCTGTTATTCTGAAACCTTTCCCAGGACCTCTACTCAGAGTTTGGCATCCTCACTTTTCCTTCCTGAGCAGGGGGTTGAACTACTAGAAGATCTCCAAAGTCCTTTTCAACTTTGTTAAACACACATGTATTTATGCTCTGGGCTATAGACATGTAAACCCTGAAAAATACCTGGGTTCTATAGAACTGGTTGTTATGGTTCCCGGTAGTTTGGAGAACCGGTAAATTGGGCCTCTGACTGACCCCGCCTCTCCCCACCTACTTCTCTGCTTCCTGCCAGTCAGTCCCTATCACACATGTGCAACATCGTGCGCATGCACAACATACCTGCAGCCTGCATTTGCCTGCCTGCCAGGCCAGCCATTGCTGCTGGCCTAAAAGTTTGCAAGACCCTGGCTCTTCCCTTCAGGAAATGGCTCCTGTCTGCACAGGTAAGCCTGCGAGTCATGTTAGCCCCTCCCCCACTCTCCCTGGACCTCTTGTGGCCTCTGGCGGTCATCTCCAGGCCTCTTGCGGCCTCTCGTGGCCATCTCTGGGGCTCCCTGCCCTTGGTCAGCCTACTTACCTGTTCCCCCCCTCCCATCCCCAAGCTTGGCTGGCTGGCTAAGCCACCGCACAGTGCTATCCCAACCATGTAGTGGCAACGGCAGAGAGGTCTTGAGCACCCTCCCCCCAGCGCTCCCAAAGTACCTCCATGTGCAGCGGCGGTGGACTCAGCTGCCTCCGTAAGCACGGATGCCACTACTGCATGTGGAGGTACTTTGGGGGGGCTTTAAGGGTGTGCTCAAGGCTCCGCTGCGCCCACCACTGCTGCACGTGGAGGAACTTTGGCTTGGGAAGCAAACACAGGGAAGGGTTCCAGTGCTGCAATCTCCCATTAGTTTCCCTTGCAGGCCAGTGACTTGGGAAACAAGCAGGAGATCATGACAACAATCAGAGCCCTTCCCCGTGCTTGTTTGCTTCCCTTGCAGGCCAGGGCAGCTTACAGGAGGCAGCCAGAGCCAGGTCCGCCTCCTCTGCCACCCACGAAGGTGTTTTGGGAGGGCTGCGGCCTGGCAGTAGCTCAAGGTGCTACTGCCACCATCACCGCTGGACTCAAAAGTGCTTTGCCTTTGGGAGGACCGGGGTGGGGAAGCAAGAAAGAAAGCAAGAAAGAGCAAGAAAGAAGGGAAAGGAAAGGAAGGAAGGAAGGAAGGAAGGAAGGAAGGAAGAAAGAAAGAAAGAAAGAAAGAAAGAAAGAAAGAAAGAAAGAAAGAAAGAAAGAAAGA